TTCTTCTATGTTTACCAAAAAGAAACCACCACTCCTCCCCCAAAAGAAACAAATAAAAATAATACTGTTTTTACTGTGTGCCCATAAAATCAGGTAGAGAGTTTCATAGCTTTTTTTTTTTTTTTTTTTTTTTTTTTTTTAGTTTCATAGCTTTTAAATGAGGTTCTCCTTTAAACTCTCCACTCGTTCTTGGCATCACTGTAGCAGTATTTTAGGAGTGCCTCAAAGAAGCAGCCGATTTATATTATATTCAGGATGTATATTTTATAGATCTTAAAAATCAACAAAACCGCCGTTTCCTGCTGTGTTTCATTCTAAGGGCCAACTTGCTGTGTGACTATAACAGACACAGGTTTCCCTTCTTTTCAGCCCCAGCTCTTATATTCGAAAAAAGGCCCAAGTCTCAAGCAGCAATCGACCGACCAAGGGTTAATGATAAGGCAAAACATTTTGTAAGCAGATGAAGAAGAGGGAGAAAAACGGGAAAGAAAAGCAATAGTTAAGCAGCCAAATGTTCACACATGAAAATAAACAACTACGAATAATTGAATATTCCTAGTTTTGACAACCATCCAGCAGCAGAAGTAACAGATGCCACAGTGGCCCGACTATCTCCAGCTGGATTGGATCAGACAAACGAGAGAAGGCCCATGGGAGCTCCTCCCTGGAGGTGGGCTTCTGCCAACCTGGTGGGGGCGGCGTGTGTGTGTGCGGGGGGGGGGGGGGTAGGGGGTGGCTTTATTTATTTATTTTTACATTTAGAAAATCACTTTTGAAATAGGGCCTCAGCTATTTCCAGCCCCAGGCGTTTGGAAGGCGGCCAACATCTCCCTGACACCATGTAGAATTATTAAGGAAAATACAATAGTTTAAAATGACAGGCACTTTGGCTACTAAAACAAAGCCCGTACTGATTTCTCAATGGTAAGGCAGCAATGTGTTATGACTTCATGTATGTACATGTCTGTGTACGTGTGTGTGTGTGTAATACATACAACTTAAATGCATTGAAATATATTCAATAAATGCAATAACTCTACCATGAGGAGGAATCTACTCAGCAATAGAATGGAAAAGTAATGACTGCTTCCTCCAGGAAACACTTAAATGCACATGAACTCTTCTTGCTATGATGGTTCTCAAATTCCATTTGATAAAAAGGGATCAACAGGGCTTAGTAGCTAGAGCACAGAGGAGGGGGTGAAAGGGTGTTAATATCCCTCTGACTCTAATACGTCCGCCATCTGCTAGGTGACCTTGGGTGAAGCCACTTAACCCTTCTGAACATCTCTTACTCAGCTCTTACATGATGTAGTTGGATAAATGGGTTAAATCAACATTTCCCAAATAGTGCTTCATAAAGGTTTCTTTTTAGGAACCTGCTACTCAGACTATGGCCCATGGACCTACTGGCAGCATCATCTAGGGACTCTTACAAATAATCTCAGACCTTGGACTGGACTTGCTGAGTCATTTTAGTTGAAATTGCCTGTATTTTAATTGGATCCTGATGGATTTTTATGTATGTTCAAGTTTGAGAACCACTGTCTCTGAGCAGGATGTCCCAAGGTTACCTGATTACAGAATCACCTGGATAACTTCATGCAAACAAAGATTCCCTGTTCCCTCCTCCAGAATCTGATCCAACAGGCCTGGAGTGGAAGCCAGGAATCTGCAGGTTTAACTGATAACCCAGGTGGGTCCATGTCAATAAAAATACAAGTTAAATATATAAAATAATTGCATTTAATCCTGTTTCCTTTTAAAATTGAATGATGTCTAAGTGATATCATGCCAGTGAGCTTCCTGATATTCTTGCAGAGATTACCTAATATGATCACGTCAAGACACTCCAGTCAATACATCCCTTGGCTGAGTGCCCCAACTGCCATGAAGGTTCTGCTTGCTGTATTTTCCAAATTGCTAAATTCTTAGTGCATCATCGGCTAAATGTAGAAAGCATACGGAGCTCTGATGTTGAACTACAATAATTTAATGAATAATATAAAAATGATACTAATTTTGCAAAGTCCCCTCAAGACAATTGTCATCAGATTCATAAGCTACATTCATCTATCAAAATCCTTATTTAGCACATTAAGATGTCTTTACTACTTCAAAAACCAATCTTAAAAAGAAGAAACATAGAGACAATTATATCCAATTTGGCTTTTCATTTATTGGGAATAAAGACTATCCTCATGTGCAATGTGTTATTTGCTGGGAAGTACTTGCAAATAGCAGCCAGAAATCTTATTTCAACAAAACATGAAAGTTATTAAAAAAAAAAGAGAGAGACAGAGAGAGCGAGCCTTTTTTTTCCCCCTACGAGCAAATGAAAAAAATTTCAAGCAAGGTCCTGAAGGCAGTTTTTTTCCCCTCCACTTTTGATGTCATTAAACATAGTTAAATTTCAATTTACATTTTAATGTACATTGGTCCCCAAGTCAAATGCAATATTTAATGACAAATCATGTCTTGACTTGCATAAATAATTTTAAATAAATTAAAGGACCTGTCATTTGATACATAGGAAAAAATTAAAAATATGTTTAAATATAGGAGATTGCATTAATTGCATGATACAAGTTTTAATGATCATTTTAAATTTAAAAATAACACGCTTATCATATTCACATGAGCATACCATATACAAGAATGATAAAATGATTTTTTAAATCCCTGAACAGATTGGTGAAATTATTACCACAAAAGTATTAGATGATTCTAAAAAGGCAGGAAATGATAGAAAAGGGTTTTCCATTTGTAACATTCTTTGATCCTATCATGCCTGGGAGAGCTGAATCCTAGGGCTGCCCTAGAATGGATTTTTTTTAGAGTCCATATAGCCATAATCTACAGAACATTTGCTAAGGCACTACCATGTAACCCAGTACAATTGGTTTTGCTAAGTATTAACACACCTACTGAGGAGTAGGAGGCTCAAGTATGTCATAAACCAACAGCTAATAATTGGTAAGGGCTAACTCTGTGCCAGGTAGAGTTTCAAACACTTTCTAGTTATTGATACCTATGACTCTTCCAATAACTCTACGAAGTAGGCACCCTTTTATCATTGGAGACATTAAGACACAGAGAGATGAATAACGTGTCCACCATCATAAAACTAAGTAGTGGAACTGGAAACCAAGAGGAATGCAGTGCCTGGCTTCTTAACCACCGTGATATACATGGTAAAATGAAATTCCAGGAGCCAAGGCCTACATCAGGGGAGTGAGAGTGAGAGTGAGGAGTGAGGGTGATATGCCAAGTGCCTGGAAACATCTAGTGTACATGATCAAAGGTTACGGAAAATGAACAAAGGTGGGTTGGAGCCATTCTTTGCCAAATTCTGTGAGCCAGGGGAAAACCCCTGGAGCTTTCCAGCAAGCAGGTGACTATCAGAAATTAAGGGGACAAGTATGGAGGTGAGAGAGACTGGAGGTGACAGATCAGTGAGATGCTATTTATAGTAAATTACAGAAGAGGCCACATGGGCCTCAGAGACATGGAGGAAGGCAAGGAATGGGAAAAGTGATGTGGAGAAACCATAGACTGAGGGAGGGCATGTTGAAAACCCCTGTGCTGCTGTTTGGCCAATCTCTCTCTCTCTCTCTCTCTCTTTTTTTTTTTTTTTTCAGAGAGAGAGTCTGTAACATCATCTGCTTCACCCTGACCAGGGTCAAATACCCTGATTAGCCTCACTGAAGCCATGTAGGGATCACAGAACTGGCTGTGTTAAGGAAGAGTAGAATCCAACATACTCCCTCTTTCAGCGGACCTGCTACTTTAGAGTCATAAAGTATTTGTTGGCTAAAATCAACTAAATAACTATGGGGAAACAGTTTCCAATGGCTCTCATATGAAAAGCACAGCTGACAAAATGACCTCGTCTCCTTGGCCTACTAGGGCCCAGTCCACATCCAGGAAAGGGCCTCCCAAATTGCCAGTATAGTGAAGGTGAAACGCATATTTTGAGAAGAAGATTTCATTTCCCAAGAAACATAAATGTCTCTGCAAATAGCAATTCATTCCTATTCTCAATCCCTAAACCATCGACATCTGTTATGAATTCCTTGAGTCCTCAAATAAATCCCCCTTGCCCTGTATTCTTTATGGCAATCTCAAAAGGCAGCATTTGAATAAAACAACAATAACCAACTCTCCCCTCCTTCTCTCAATTTCTTTCTGGAGGAGCTTTTACACCCCTGGGCTCACCAAGGAGGTTTTATGGGAACCCACTGGGATGGGATAATGGGGGTAGGGGAATGAAGACATTTTAAGGAAGGAGAAAGGAAGTTTCTGTACTTCTAAATATGTTTGAGATGATAAAAGCACTGATGCTGAAATATGATGAAGACATCTTGGACTCTCCTGAAAAGCAATTTCCTGCTTCTTTTTTTCCCCCCCAAGTGTCTTTTTTTTTTTTTTTCTTCCTTCCTTTTTTTGCTTCTTTGGAGTTCCATGCAGGTCAAACACATGCAGTTTTTTTTTTTTTTTCACATGCAGTTTTAAAACCCATTTCCATGTTTTAAGATTCAGAAGCAAGAGGTTTAGTAGTAGGCTATAAAAATCCCTTAATCTTTAATGTCTTATTTTTGCAGATTTGCTGGAAAGTGCAGTTAACCATCACTGCTCACCTTTTTCCAGCAATGCCCCTTGAACTTGGTCATTGATAACGAACAGCAGAACCCACTTACAAGTGTTTCTTTCTCTCAGGAACCGATTTTCCGGGCATTGTTGAGACACCTGCGCTCTGACAATCTGCAGAATCTCTTAGCCTAACTGATTTGCTGATTGTACTCCAGAGGAAATTATCACACATTCAAAATACAACTCTAAAAGAGTAAATTTAGTAGAGATATAGTTGTGATAGCGCTCGATGTCCTCTAATCTCTATTCTGCAGAAGCACCTGGCACATCTAGAGCCCCCCTTCAACTCCACTGATCTCTGGCCCATGATCCCACCAGACAAGACCCACAACCCAGAATGTACTCACAAGCTATGCGCACGGAGGCCTTCCTGCTTTTGGAGGTCCCCAGGTGGCTCCATGCCACACACTGGCACCAGTAGTCCTCTGGCCCGTGGAAGTCCTCCACCTGCTGCCTGGTAACGTTGATAAACACCTCCCGGACCTTCAAGCCTGATGGGGAGACAGAGCAAATCCACTGAGGCCGCTGTATTTTTCAAACAGAAAGTTAAGGATAGCCAAACCTTTTCTTGTTAATTAAACAATTCGGTTTTTAATCAAGGCAAGGTTTTAATTACTCTGACAATAATACATTGCTGCTAATTAAATTCCAACAGCTGAGTAGGCTGGAAAGAATGAGTGTCAAGTATTACCAACCAAATACGGCTCCAATACAATATCAGAATTTTCAGAGTACCTTGATTAGTGCTTTTTCTTTGTCTTTCTTGGTGTAAAACCTATGAGGAATGTAGGATCACAATTAACTTCTAGGATTCTAGACGCTAAGGAGGTCTCAACACATGGACTCCAGAGATGTTATGCCAGGTGGCTCTAAATGGCCGTGTCCCTGGGTTTGACAGTGGGCAAAGGGTCTAGCAGTGTGGCTTAGGAGAAAGAGGAAACAGGGAACGTGTGTGAACAGGCAGGGAAACCAAGGAAGGACCAAGTTTCGGCTTCAGGAGCCTCAGACAACAAATGCAGTGCAGACATGTTGAACTACGTAAGTCTCAAACCCCTGACAAGAGAGCCCAGGAAGGCCCCATAGCAGTGGCCGTGTGGGAGGAGAGAAAGTAGAGGCTCTTACAGGAGCTAAGGCTACATCTTCAAAAGAAGATAAAACTAAGAGAGCCACCTCTTAGTGTAGTTTATTATTATTATTATTATTATTAATTACTTTGCATCCTCTTAATAGTTAGAAAATGTTATTTCTTACAGGGGAGTATGAGTTTCTTCCAAACCTTTGACCAAGGACTATCAGCCTTCCTTTCCTTGGGAAGAATAGTCACCTTGCACAGGGTGCCAAGGATAAAAGAGGACACTCCTCACTAGCCCTATCAGTTCAATCATCATGAGCCAGACAGCAGCTCTGACAGTCAGCCTGCTCTCTCCGTCCACCAAACACGCTGAGGCTGGGCCTTGCTCTGGGCTGGGCCTTGTTCTGGGCTGAGCCTTGCTCTGAGCTAGGCAGAGGAGGAGAAAAAGAGGCCATGCCTATTGAATTCCCCTTACGTACCTAGCATCATGATCAGCCTTTAGCCTACTCACTCACTACATTTTCTCAACACACTGATGCAGTAGAAACTATTGCATCCCCACCACGCAGACCAAAGCACTGTCTCGGAGAGACTAATTCACCTGTCCACAGTTACACAGTCTGATAATGGAAGATCTGGGGTCTTAGAGCAAAACCAGCCCCACGTACAGGTCCCTCTCGAAAATTAAAATTCTGTCTCTGTATTTTAGGTGCTTATACTTAATTATGGAAATAAGCCTAACACAGGGGACATTTAAAGAAAAATTAAATGCATAATTATGCATTTGTCTTCAAATTCAAAAGGAATTCATGGGATAGAGCCATCAGTGTAATCAAAAGAGCCCTGGGGCTTTTGATGGAGAGGGTGGAATATGATTCTGTCTTGGGTGCTGATAGGATGACAAGAACAGAGGTGCAGGATTGGTCAAGGCTGGGAGACAGTCCCTCCTAACCAATCCTTAACATGTTATCGATAGTATGTGAAGAGAGAGGTTTTTTTTAAAAATATTTATTTATTTATTCATGAGAGACATAAAGAGAGAGGCAGAGACATAGGCATAGGGAGAAGCAGGCTCTATGCAGGGATCCCGATGTGGGGCTCGATACCAGGACCCCAGGATCATGACCTGAGTCAAAGGCAGACGCTTAACCGCTGAGCCACCCAGGTGTCCCTGAGAGAGAGTTTTATGACCACAGAAATCACCATGCACAACTGGAGTCACACTTTCTCAATTTTTAGGAGGGACCACATATAGAAAATCCCTTTGATGACAGCTGATAACCTACGTTTCCCTGTTTGTGGAAGGAAAGAACACTTTGTTTCCCTGGAAGAGATGTAAGAGTCCCAAAAGCTGTGTCCTACACCGAACAGAAAAGAAGCCTGAGAGGGGGTTTTTATGGATGGTGGTATTTTCATCTTTGCACTTAAGGAAATATAAAGTGTGAGTGGGAAGACAGGGGTGAGGAGGAGGTGGGGTTGGCAGGTCAAAGAGACAGGAGAATAAAAATTAAGCAATCAAACAAAACAGAATGGTTAGGACAAAAGCAGACGGGAGGGGGGGGATGGGGAGTATAGCCACGCATGCTGGGGATTCGAAAATATGTTGAAATAAACAAAAATAAGGAAATGGGCTGCAGAGCAGGGGGCTTTTGTTATAGTTTTCTCTTTGATTTGAGGCAAATGATGATTTACTTTGAATAGTGGAAGGGAAGAGAGAGAACCCCAAATCAATACATCCTCTGTCACAGGGTGAAGGGACCTACTGAGACAGAAATATGCCCACTATTTAGGAATCAGGGGTCTCTCAGAGAAGCATTCAATTATAAGCTTGAGAGGTCTGCTTGTCTTGTCTGTATGCCCCTCCTCCTGCTTGTGCTCACATGCTCTTTTTCCAATAAATACGTTTTTTAAAATCTAGAAATATGTTCAAGCTGGGGGAGGGCTATTCTATTCTATTTATTCTTTCTCCATCTTACTAGAACATCTACATTATCAGCTTCCTCCAGGTTGGAAATGAAGACAAACATCACCTCAAAATGGTTCAGGACTATTTGGATGCTTATTAAACAGGAAGTTTCCATATCCAAACATCAAAACTTGCTATGATTTCATCTAGGCACCATGGTTTTTTAAGGGCACCCAGGGTTTGTTTTCCTGAGGTATGGTAAGACCACACAAAACAAATGGAAACAATTGTCCAGAAAGAAGATTTAAGCTCAGAAATCCCTAGAAACAACAAGCACAGCACCCAATGCAGGGCTACCTGGGGGATGCTAGGAGGCAGAGGGGCACAGGAAAATGAGGGCAAGAGCCTTTCCTGTGGTTTCCTCGGGAAGAGGCAGGGTAAACAGGTTTAGAATGGGCTGATTTGAATCATTTCAGTGGGACATAGTGGCTGTCCCTAGTTGTCAGGTACTCGGTCCTGAGGTGAGGATAGGAAAATATTGCCCTGGAGTCTAAGAGCTTAATAAAATAAGTGGCTAGGGGGATGGACTCTGGATTGATTGATCTGCCTATGAAAGGCACTCTCACAGACAGATTCCCTTTCTCGGTGAATTAGCCAGCCCTCTGGCAGGACAGCAGTGTCAGCAAGAGCCCACGACGTCAGAGCATCAAATACAGAAACTAAACTTGTGGGCACATAGGCAGCTGCGTATTTGTTTTGGGAAGCGTTAACTGTGGACCATGGATAGTCACCATGAAGGTCCTAACTGATCTTACCCCCTCCTCTAGACAAACTGCAGATGACAGCACGATGTTGAAGTCACAATTTCAATGCTAGGATGAGTCAGTTACACGTCTTTCACAGAGGCTTTCCCAGGGGACTGGAGAAGCCAAATGAATAGTAGAAACCCACTATTTCTAAGCACAGTGAGTTTTTCCTGCAGGTAGCATCAGGGTGGCAGGCTTCTTTGAAAGGCCACAAGAGACATCACCCCCCCACACACACACTCCCTCAAAATCACTATCTGTCTGTATTAGGCCTTCTTCTATCCACAAGTCTTCAGTTCTTGTCACACATTCTCTCTAGGAGAACTCTTGGAAAACCATGAATACCTTGTACCTATTTTACTTATCTCTACCATAACAAGAAATAATTCCATTGAATACAAAATATTTAAATGGTATATTCTCTCCAAAGTCCCCCTTATAACTCTGCCTACTGATATATACACCACATACACATATATTAAGTGCATGCGTGCCAAACACCCACGAGGAGCAGCTCTATTTAAGGAAATCTCCACCCACTCCCCTCCACTGAGGTTCATCCAACAGCGCCAACAAGATGGCTATCCACTTCCACATCTCTCCAGGGAACCTGTTCACAGGAAATGCTACTGAGGAGCACAAATCCTGGCAAACAGAAGATGACTCTCTCTTAAGTAAGGGTCGCACTGTACCCAGTAACTCGTGAACTAATAAGCACGGGAAGAGTCCAGCCCTTTAAATTAGTGTGTAAATTATAACCATCAGCCTTTGTGATGGACTAGAGGCTTACAAGATATAAAACTATGACTATGGGACTGATATGCTAATAAGCTTTCTGCGCTGTTGGATGGTTGAGTTGTATGGAGACTAATGTTGCCAGCAGATGAATAATTGCTCTGCATGTACTAAACATAACAGAGCAGCACAGAACTTCATCATTTGTCAGCTTTATTTGTTTAAATGAGAAAAATGCTGACAGCAGTTATTGCTGTAATCCCCTTATTTATCAGATAGAAAATACTAGTTACTCTTAGCAGGTCTAATCCTGTTGGGAGACTAAAAGTTACAGAGTTTTCCAACTAATTGAAGGTAGAGGCTTTAGTGTTCCAAGAAGAGAAATACAAAAGACAGCGGGGAAGAAATGTTGAGAGAAAAAGGAGGAAAATCATTTATTCCTGGCCAACTTTTAATAAAAGGGCTCTAGCCGTAGTCTTAACTTGTTCTGTAGGAAATAAAGAATAGAACATTCAGCACCATGCCAACTGTAGCCCAGTGCCTAACAGCTGTCCCACGTCTTTTATCTACTGCTCATTATCACACTTCTGCAAAGCCCATCGGCAGCATCCTGCCGTGGTCACTGTTGCCAACCTGCTCTCAGTTATACCTGCTGATGGGCACTTGGGAAGGGATTTGACACAGCTCTCCCATGCTTGCCACCCCTCACAGCCTCCTGTCCTTCAATCATTTGGAGGTTCTTTGTGGCCAGATGCTTGGCTTACTAGACTGGAGAACTAGATTCAAGATGGCAGGTTAAGGATCCATCTTTCTCCCTTGGAGACATCATTCCTATCCCAAAACCACACAGAAGTCAGACACCAGCAAACTAGGTTTTGGTGAACTGTTTTGTCATCCAAGGCTCAGTGCCCCTTTCCCAGCCCAGTTTAGCTCAGTGTTTGACCAACCCCGTGTTTCATGTTCCACACTGGA